GTCTCATTTTAGCATGTCATGTTGCCTAAATTCCTGGTCATGTTTTTTCTTGCGTTGGGTAAGCATCTTTGAAGAAGTAGTTTCTGGAACGTGGAGCTTCTCTGCATCTGTAGTATAAATGCAATTAAAGGCATTTCTATATTGTCTGTATTTGAACAGAAAGTAAATGATTTTTTGCTGCTACCATGAGCTTGCTCCCACAGACAGTGAATAATCTGAAGCCACAAAGCATCTAACATTTTAGAAGACCGTTCTCTGCTAACACACAGAATCCAAGCATTGAAGCCATTGGGCTTGGATGGCTGAAGAAAAGAAGATTAGAGCATAACAAAGAGTTGAGCATAACAAAGAGTCACAAATAAATGAATTCATTCCAGTAAGTGTTCAAGCAGCTATAGATTTCATATTTAGTTCTAAAAGATCGATGTGTAGAGTTCTTTCTGTTCTGAATTTTGAATGTATGCCCAAATACGGTCTCTTTAATGAATAAAATAACTATTTTTCTTCTTTTTTGAACTGTTTTCCTGATGCTGTTCACATTTCAACCTTGTGGGCAGACTTCCTTTGTTTGCTCTAGCTGTATACAGTGGCAGAATTGGACAACAGGAGTTTCATAAAATCTCAAACAGCTCTTCCCTTGCTACATTTATTTTTCAGCTCACTGCTCTTCTCTTTGCAGAGCTAGAATCAAATGTGGTTTGCTTATACAGTCTCCCTCAAGCAGCCTTTCAATCCATCATATATGTATGTGCTAGACACACGAACCTTGGTGCTAAAACTTAACCCAGTATCTGAGCCTTCAATTTAATGGGTGGAAAAAGTGGAGAACTCAGTGCGTGTGTTTGGGGTCTTTTAGCATAAAAGACACTTGGAAGTCTGAGTGTTACTAAACTAATGGATGCCTGGAGCCTTACTATGCCTTCAGATCTCTTATAGTAAGTTACCTGATTTTAACAGTTCAACAGTTAGCACTTTGTTGCACTTTGTTAGCACAGTTGGCACAGCTGGACTGCTTCAGCCATTTTTAAAAACTGGTGAGGTGTTCACATATTCATATGAACTCTTCTGGTGTTCAGTTCTGTAGACTTTCACTCAAGCTTGAAGATCTCGTATGCAAACTGTCTTTGACATCTGAAGCTGCTTGCAACGCAAGCTTTTGTGCAAATTGGGGATCTTCAGTGTTGGTAACTAACAGAGATTTTGGTGTGCACTGCACTACACTACAGGAAGAAAAGTAACGGCATGCTATGGTAGTATTAAGAATGTAAGGGCTGTTTGTGTTCAGAAATGCTAGGATAAATTCATGATATTTCTAATTTAAATTGTATTAATTAAAACATGCTAATCCTTCAGCTGAATGCTCCCAGATGTTTCATTTCTGAGTGCTTCCATATATCTATTTGCCATTCTCATAAATTCACAAATTTCTTAGTGGCCATGCAAACAGCTGTGCAGAGAAGCTGGCTGGTCAACTGGGAGCTAGGGCCAGGCTGGCAACTGGGATGTTGAAACTGTGCTAAGAGGTTATGCAGGAATATTCCCTCAAGTTTGCCTTTGCCAATATGGTTGTACGTTTTCTAATTGGCATGCGTTTGTGTGAGTCAGAATACTGGCAGAGTAAATGCATGTTTGTTTGCTGAGGAGCGCGTGGACATGTATATCTAGTCAGTAGTTGGATTTACTTAATTTTGCTCTTATCAGTTAATAACTTGTGCTTTCCAGAGTGTGCACCTAGGCACAGAAAAATGCCCACAAACAAGGTTATTTCTCTGTACTGATGATTCATTATGTGCATGCCTTACAATAGAAAAAAGTAAACATGGAAATCTTGTTGCTTTTATTCCACTAGCTAAAATTCCTACAAATACTGGTCTGTTCCTAATCTGAAAACTTGCCAAACCTGTGGGAAGGCCTGACCAGTGTCCTGTTGGGACTGATGGTTCTGAGACCCCCTGTGGTGTGAGGCAGCCGCAGCAGTTCTGGCTGAGCCGCATGGGAGAGAAGCGGCGCTGAGCATGGCAGCCAGCCCTACAAATTCTGCATGGCTGTGGCCACACTGCTCCCGAGCTCTGTTACTGATGCTACATTGCACACTGCAGAAACATCAGATCTCCTCACTGCAGTGCACTGAATCTTGTAGGTACTGCCAACTGTACCATATGTCTAAGCACTTTGGAGTCATCATTTGATTCTTTTTAGGTTGATTTGATAAGGAAAACGGCTTACAAGGCAGGGCTGCAAGTCTTTTCTCCCCTCTATATCCCTCACCTTCTGTTTTCTAATGACCTTTGTTGTTTAAATTCAGCTATACTTTTTAAAGGAACAGAGATCTCTTTAGGTGTTACATTCCTACAAATGCTGTAAAAATTGTTGATTAATGTAGGAGAGACCCACATTAGTGTTTGATGGAAGGAAAGACATGAGGCTAGCAGCTGCCCATCCTATTTCTCTCCCTTGCCCAGCCAGGCATGAAGGCCACAGATGGAGGAGAATCCTATTGCAGTACAAAGTGCTGGGGATGCAAGAATAATTTTAATTTTCACGGCACAGAAAATTTTACAGGGATGCATTGGAGACTTTGAGGGGATAAAGAAAAACTTCAGCTTTGTCAGTCCTGAGCTTGAGGAGAGGAAGACAAGGATATGGAGGGAGCTCGTTCCTTTTGGTTTGCAGACGGGTATTAAGAGGTGTTTTGCAGGAACAGAAGACAAGACAGTTTTCCAACAATGGTATCTAGGCACTGTGAAACATCACCAGTCTTGTTAAGAAGACAGTATTGGCGCAGTCTGATTAGATTTCTATGTATATTTGCAATATACAAATACTCTAATTTAAAGGGCTTTATTGAACCCTTATCAAGTTGGTTTCCTGATGCTTAGATGTAACTGGAAAGTACTGTAGAAAGTGTTCTAACAATACAGATGAAAGTAATGGTGCCATGCTGATGGTCATTTTTGTAAACAGAAGGTTTGGGCTCCACATGGAAAAAACGACTGCAGTTCTTATCTCTCCAACAAGAAGTGCAAAAATTCCTTGTATTGAATTTCTTTAGTTTTTATTTTCTGTAGGGTATCTAGTAGCTAAATACTTTACATTTATGTTGGTTTTGTTACTTAGATTTTATGTCAACAAAGTCCTGAAATACTGGTTTAAGTTATACACTGTTGCTGTGGATAGACCACTGCTAAATCCTACCAACATCTGTCGGAAATTGGCCAAGTTATAAATCTTTCCTAAAAACTACAAGGACAGTTTTTGGAATATGATGAACAAATGTCTCAACAGTTGGGAGCCATTTTGGAAATAATCTGTGATGGATATTTTTGAGTCCCAGATGATTCATCCTTCCCTGTCTCCAGATTCATGTAGAAACTGAAAGCTAAAGGGTGTAAAAGAGGTGGTTCAAAAGTGGAAATATTTTATCCCCTGTCCTTTAATGTGGTTAATAAACATGTTAGATTAGTTAGTTAATTTTGCTTTCCTTTTAATCCACTGATTTCCCATCCATGGGTTCTGTTTTTAATTTTTTTGAGAATCAGCTGATCCTTTCTTAGCTCTGTCATTTATGATTGCATAAATTGCAATTGTATCTCCTCTGTAACTGGAGAATCTTCTAGATTTCATCTCAAGTGCAGCTTACTTTGTCATAGTACAAAATGTAGAAGTTCATTATGGGGAACGCACTTCACTTAAATAGTTTTGCTGTTTCTGTAAGATGGTTGTGCAGAGCTATGCACGTCCTGGAGGCACATTGCTAAGTATTTTCTTCCTACTCAAATTTTTTTGAATACGTTGTTTTCAGTAAAATATGTATGTTGATGTCTATCTTCATTTAAAATAATGAGCTTAAATACACTGTAAAGGCATTTAAACATTTGTGTACACATGTATATATTAACATTAGATATAACTTGAATGGTATACAATAGGGAAGGTGTAATAAAGCATGCAATAAGAGGTAATCTGAGGTAAATTTAGTTCTTATATTGGAGTAAATAATGCAGTCCAGTGATATTAACTGAATTATCTCTGAGAGGTTCCAGTTTTACTCGCAGTTGCGTTCTTTATTCTGGAGCTGCATGACTGGTTTACACTTCTCTTCTGTCTAATAGGTGCCTGTTTGGACTTCTTAAACTGGTTAAATGTAAGACTGTGATCCAATATTATTGTTTGATCCAGTACTAGACACCAGAGTAAGCTACGAAAGAGTAAAAAAAAAAATAAAATGTCAAACTTGCTGTATCAATGCAAGAGTGCAGACTTTCCCTTCCATTTATATCCATAAAGGTAAAAAATAAATGGGAGGCAAGACTTTCTTTAGCATCAACATTTTCTCCATGAATGAAGGCAGTGAATTTGAATCTAGTCAAATACATTTCAGTGCTTCTCAGCCTGCTCTAGGCTATGCCTTACTGTGGTGGGTGTTGAACTGTGATGCTCAGCACATCTGCTGAACTTAGGAATCTTCTGGTGGAGGTTGAAGAAGCAGAGCTAATTTCTGGATCTCAGCTAGACCTGGAAAGGTGGGAGTGAAATACTAGCGTCTTCCTGAACAAATTAGAGTTGTTCTGCAAATGGTATTTGGCACATCAACAACACTTAAATCAAACAAGGTGTCCATGCTTTGCCAACAGCAGAGCAGCATCTTTCACCTTCTGTCACATCCAGCATGAAATTATGTCTGTTGATAACCAAGAGGGCCTCTTTTTGTTTTAGTACCAGTTTTGTGCTGCCAGAAGCAGTCTGGAGTGAGTGAAGTTAAGTCAGGTTATTACCATGTGAAGTTAAGCAAGATATCTATGTTACAACATGATGAATACGTTGTAAATTGGCTAAGTGATAAAATACATTTTTTTTTTTTTAAACTAATATATCCCCTTATGCTGCACTAGCTTTGCAGTTCTTAAAGACGACAGTTATTAGATCACTGACTTTCTTTCTTCATGTGTCAGTGTTCTTATGTATCTTACGTGGATTGTTGTTTATTTTTTCTTCCCCAGGAATCTGAGATGAGAATAGCCAGATGTTGATGATCTTGACACTGTTTCTCTCTTATGTATGCTGACAGGTAAGCATGCCTAACTCATTTTGTAAAGAAGTCATTTAAGGTACGTCTCATTTCTCCATCTTTTTTTTTCCAATGGTAAGTTTCTTAGACTTTTTCTTAGATTTTAATGCTATAGAATTGGTGAAACAGCAGGATTTGCAGCTTAACAGCAGTCTGTAGTGAAGAAGGTTGGGAGAGTGTGTTAACTTTCATCATCAGTTGTGGAAGCCTTCTTCTTCCTCCTGCTGAATATACTTTAAATCTGGGCCTGCAAATAGACATGTTATGATATTTCTTGTACCATTATTATAACGTAACATTATTCTTGTTGAAACACCATTTTTCCATACATAATTTTTGGTGAGTTCATTGCGAATTTTGCAATTAATGTTAGATTTGCATGAAGAATTTCTGGATTTTTGTACTGTAATGCTCTCATCATACAGTGAGGTAAGAACTGATGGACTGTGGAGTCAGTGTAGAGCCTCTCCTAACACAGTACAAACACATATCTTGTGTCTTTTTTTGCCTTATTTGAATGTTGCATTTTCAGTGTTTTCTATTCAAACTTCTAGACTTGTTGTATTTCTTTCTTATTACACTTATATTTTTTCCTCTTTTTTTTTTTTTTTGTGTGTGATTCCTTATGAACACAATTTAAAAAGTTTTGGCAGTACCCAGAAACATTTTATTGTCTTCCTATAGAAAAGAGTTTCTTAAATTAGAATTACTTCATTGGCTTACTATCCAGTCATTACAAAATAAATAGAAAACTTAAACTCAGATATCAGAAAATGAGAACAAAATGTACAGTGATTTCAAATTATATTTCCTTTGGTAAAGCCTGTATGATCTGGAAACTAAAAAACTCATTTTCTTTGTGATAAAGAGAAAGTGAAGGCACCTTTTTTTCACATTGCTGTTGCAGATGTCTTTGTTAATGCATGCTATGAACGTTGATCAGAGATAAGATAGTAGTGTGGTTTCACACTGATATACAGTCCTAACAATATTTTTGTTTGAGCACTGGAAGGTGAATGAAAATATTAAAATTATGTAAAAATGGTGGAAGAGATTGCTATAAAGTGCATGGTGGCACTGTTTCAATTTAGAGGAGCAGTCTGTAGAAATGAAAAGAGGAGAAAAACATTTGAAAAAATGCTGTGTACCTCAAGGACAGCACAACAAAAAATGTCTAGCTTATCAGGCATTTAATCACTAACTGTGTCTGTGGCTACTGACAATATTAGAGATAAATAACAATGCTGATGAGAAGGGAAACAGAAAGAAAACAGGTACAGAAACTTAGGTTTAAGGATATACATATATATTTGATATTGTGTTGAGTTGTTATGACTAACATGTTTTATTGACAGAAAGGTGTGAGCAAGATTCCAGTTGTGACTAGGAGTTTTTCAAATTGGTCATTATTCCATGGTATGATCAAAATAATCCACCAGTCTGATGAGAGATGTGTATATTTGAGTATAAAGCAGAATTGAGAAAGTGTGGGTGTGAGATGGAATATTTGAATGATTTCTTAGAATAGGAAAACAAAACTCTCAATTTTAAAATTGCTCAGTGCTGCTAGCTGTTTGCAGGAAGTAGATATCATCAGTATACAGCTGAATTACTTTTTTCACAAGTCTGAAGCGTAAAAACAACACTTACTGAAACCTACCTTTAATAAAGACACATTTTAAAACAGATATGATAGGAAAGACATTAACACATTTCAAAATGCAGATCTGATTGGTGAGACCTTTGCTTACCTTTTCAATCTTTTTTTTTTTCTTTTTCTTTAATGTCACTCTTTTCCATTTACATTCATAGCAGTCACAGTCACTGCAGATGTGAAAAGCAGACATTCATCACTGAGCACAATGTTTCAATGTGAGAGCCAACAGTGACAGTGATGTTTGGCATGGGCTGTAAACACTCCTCTGTTCTTTACGTGCTCGGAGTTGTGAAAAGGAACTTAGAGGATCCTAGTTTCATGGCTTTCTTAAAAGTATTATTATAGGTCTTGTATTGTTGCACATGCCAGTCTTTGGTTTAATCGCTATTATATATATATACTGTATTATATACATATACTATCTGTTACTATAATGCAGGTAATATTGCAGTATTAGCTTACATTATATGCATATTCTGTTCTTTTAATGTAGTAAACCTTTGTTTTGTGTGTACTCTTTCTGACTGTGATTAATGAGTTTCCTTGGCCAAAAAATAGGGGCAGCCCTGTACCCCAGAAGAGCTGTCGTATGGGAGAATGAGGTGGTATGAGGCTCATCCTACCTTCCTGCTCCTGCTGCAGTAGAAGCAGCTCTGGTGCCCATCAAGCCCTTCTTTGCAATGGAAGGCAAGCTCTAATGTTGGGAAATACAACTGCCAGGCATATGAATACCTGCAGGTTTGTGGTGAGGGAGAACAGAACCTGACTACCTATCCACTGAGTGGCAAGTTAGCAAACATCCACAAATCTCCTGAAATAAAAAGAAAGAGGAGCTGGTGGCTGTCTTGACCTGAGAGAGAGACCAGAGGCATGCCTAAATTATGAAGTAATGGGGGAAGCGCATAAGAAATAAATTAACCTCTGATATGTTTCCAGTACCACAGAAGCATATGATCACTTGTAATTTGAGGTTGAGAAAAAATTTGGAGGAGTTGAGGCTTGGGGAGAACTGGTGATAGCAAGAATGAAATCTCTGAAAGGTAGAACAAATAACATGCATGGGAGAATGTGAAGCAGAGATAAGACCTAATGGCAAATCTCTTTTTGATGCTCATTTCCTTTAAAAACGTGAACTGAGAAAAATATGTCTGGTTTCATCGCTTTATATTAATGCTGAAGAGGAGAGCTTTTTCACTCTGCCTCTGCTGCCTTCGTTTCTGTAAGCAGCAAGGCAGAGAGGGGTTCAGTAAATCTAATTAATGGGTATGTCCTGAAGGATTTAGTTCACATGATGGGCTTAATTATTTCCTTCCCTGCACAGCTGCCTTACATGGTAAGCAGAGCTGCCTAGATGTCGCTCTTTTATAATGAGGTGAGGAATAGGTACTGCTGACATCTTCAAGAGCAGTGTTAGGAAATGAGATTTGTGCTGAAATTGTTAAGATTAGCAATACATATGGGACCATTTGAACAGTAAAATAGAAAGGCATGCAGTAAAGTCTGTGTCAGGGTCCAGCCTCAAGTTTAATAGAGAAATCGGAGTTCTTTGAAGCATTGTATTCCTGAGCATTGCTGCTTTTCGTTTTTGGAAAAGGACAGTCCTGTGTGAGTGGCCACTGCAAAGGACTGTGATATCCTACACCAGCAACTGCTCAGTGTTTATGCAAGATTAAGTAAGAACTTCTATGATGTACCTACTTACGGCAGAAACTGACAGTTTTACGCCCGGAGTTCAAGACAAATTTTTGTTAGGAATATTTTATGTCATAGTTCAGTCACGATCTTTTAAAGTTTTTTTATATTCAGTTTGCATTTCTTGATTAGGTTGTGATAATTTTCTTGGCTGGAATCTTCAAAATATGTTATCTTTAATTATAAATGGTAATGAATTCACTTAATCAGGTCTTACAGAAGTACAATCAACACAAAATATAGACAATTAGAAATAATTAATTTAAAGCATTTCCATATTCTCCAAAAGCCTCACTTTAGGACATGCATTACCTGTGAGCAAGTTAAAGACCTACACAAACAAGAGGAAATCGTACTCTGTAAAGAAATCACTGTAAATGTTATAAACAAATCAAGAACTTTCTGATGATACTGAAATTTCTCTGGGTCTCTGTAGTAAATTATAGATTGAACTCTTCAGTGATAATTTTTATTTTGATGTCCCCTTAAAAAGCACAAGAAAGGAATATACTACCAAGAGTACATCTAAAAGCTAGTGTGTGTTTGTGCAGCTAAAAAAATTGTACAGATTAGTATATTTTGCAGCATGCTAATGTGTGAGATTGTACTGACTGCAAAGCATGTGATTGCTTAGGTATTAACTTGCAGAAAGTTTTTGGATTGCAGAACGAAGCCATATTTGTAGGTTAATCTTCTGGTTGTATACTAACCATTACAGCTCTGTTTAAAGGCAAAATGCAGAAGAAAATGTGTTTTGCAGTTAGCCTCAGAAAGAGGAGAGGGTCCAGAGGAGGGCACTAAGATGATCAGAAGGCTGGAGCACCTTTCCGATGGAGAAAGGTTGAGGGTACTGACCTTGTTTATCTTGGAGAAGAGAAGGCTCTGGGAAAACCTCATCGTGTCCTTACAATACCTGATGGAGAATATAAACACGAGGGGAAATGGGTTTTTACGAGGATGGATAAAGAGTGATAGAACAAGGGGGAATGGTTTCAAGCTAAGACAGGGGAGGTTTAATTTAGATATTAGGAGGAAGTTTTTCACACAGAGGGTGTTGAGGCTCTGGAACAGGTTGCCCAAGGAAGCTGTGGATGCCCCATCCCTGGACGCATTCAAGGCCAGGCTGGATATGGCTCTGGGCAGCCTGGTCTGGTGGCTGGTGACCCTGCACATAGCAGAGGGGTTGGAACTAGATGATCATTGTGGTTCTTTTCAACCCTGGCCATTCTATGATTCTGTGAAAGACTAAACTATTCATAGTTGGCATGGTTGTCAGTACTGGTTCTAAACTTAGTCCTGGCCTGGCCCTTATTAGTAGGGTCAAATTTCTGTAAAATATTTGGTTATGGCTCTGTCACATGCAATAGTAAAAGGGAAAATGACCTTATTTTCTGAACCAGTATTTCTTTCAACAGTGAGTTGCTGCAGGAAAGCCATGGGACTGCATATGGGGGGAAAGTATTTGAACAGGTAGAAAGAATGAAGAAATACTTTCCTCTGTTATTGCCACATAATTTGAACAATACAAAAATACTAAAGGTTTCAGAATGTTCGAAAACATGCATTAACCATATATTTACATAATACTAAAGTGAAAGAGAATCTTCACCTTTTAGCTAAAAACAAAATATGTGATTTTTTGTTTGGAATG